AGCTCCTATAAGACATAAGTTTGAGAGGGCACAACTTCAGAGGGTGCTCGTCTTAAAAGAATTTTGCACAGTTAAGATGCCACAACAGTCATGGAAGCGACAAAGAAATGCATTATCATCATCTACAAATGTTGCATCGGATGATTAAAAAGGCTACAAATAGCAACATATATTTGAATAAAAGCTACAACAGATCAGCTAATCTTCGAGCAGAGTCGGCACCGCAACTCTTCACCATAACTCGGCACCGCTTGTGGCATCGCAACTCTGCATCGCAACTCTTCACCGGAGCTCTGCGCCATAACTCTTTGTCGCAACTCGGCACTGCAACTCTTCACCAGCAACTCATCGCCGCGATGCACTGCCGCAACTCTTGTGTCGTCGCGACGCCCCAACACCACGTGTCGCTCCGACACACCACCAACAACGCGCCCTGTCGCTGTGACACCCAACCACGATGTTCTGCTGCAATGTGTCGCCACGACACATCGCTACAACACACTGCCGCAAAGCGTCGCTTCGCCGCAAAGCATCCCCGTCATGCCTCGCTGGAGTCAAGTCACTGTGACGCCCCGCCACAACACGTCGTCGCAACGCCTTGCCCCCACGCACCGCCACAACGTGCCCTGTCGTTGTTACACCCTGCCACAATGATCCGTTGTAACGCGTCGCCGCGATACATCGCTACGACACACTGCTGCAAAGCACCGCTTCGCTGAAATGCCACGCTGTCATGCGTTGCCACGACGCACCGACGCAATGTGTCATCATAATGAGTCAAGTAACTGCGACGCCCCGCCGCAACGCGTCATAGCGACGTCTCGCCGCGAGGCAACACCACAACAAGTCACGTCACTGCAACGCCCCGCTGCAACACGTCGTCGCGACGTCTCGCCACAACACATCGCCGCAACACGCCACTGCAATGAGTCAAGTCCTGCGATGCCCCGCCGCAACGCGTCGTCGCAACATCTTGCCGCCAAGCACAACCGCAACGAGTCACGTCACTGCGACGCCTCGCCACAACGAGCACCACCGCAACACCTCACGGCGACTCTACCTCCCTCTCCTTTAGGCCTATTTATAGGCTCAAAAATTACTTTTGTCATTATTGCACATTAATATATAAGTATAAGCATTCAATGTTTATTAAAAAAAAATTTTTCATTTCATATTCATTTTACTTTGATCTTTCAAATTCAGCATTTATGATTGAAATCTTTAGAATAAAAAAAAAAAAAACACCACCAGTTCATGAAAAAAAAATATATATCAAATTCTATCATTTTAATAATTTGCTTTAATTTTTTCTGCTCAAATTCTTCTTAAACCATTCGAATCGAATTCCCGCTTTTCCATTAACAGCTAAGCCGACTCGCCGTTCCCACTTCCCATGGCCCGTTTAATAGCTGCTTCAGCTCTCCATATTTTATTTAATTAATCAATTAATTAAATTCAGTTTAACCCTTCAAATTCCGGACCGGTCTGGGGTTTGGCCCGCCTGGTCTCGGACGGTGTGAATTCAGGCTTTCAGGTCGGGCTCGGCTCGGCCAACAGACCCGATAAAATTTTTTTTTTCTTTGTTTAAGATGGGATTCGAACCCGCACCACATGCAAATGATAAAATATACTTACCAACTAAGCTAAGCTGAACTTACGCGAATGTTAAGGATAAATTTTATTCTTATTTACATAGTAATACAATAAAGTATATATATATATATATATATATATATATCATGTCCTCTATATATTATAATGTCCTCCATGAAAAGTTTATAGATCTTAATATTTTCAGACGAAAAAAAATGATTTCACCAGAAAATAAGGGGCAACTGATACGCCACCAACAAATTTTCATCATCCGACACAAATCTCGATGCAATTTTTTGAACACGAAACATTCAAACTTCGATTAAGAGTCATCTGGAGCTCCGATTTCAGTAAACTTATAGTGAAACTGATCAGCTCGACGAGGAATATGAAATTCAGTCCAATCCGAGTCAAATCAAGCCTAGATCAAGTCATTAAACCACTATTACAGAATTTTCGGAAGCATTTGAAAGGTCAAATGAATGTCGAATCTAACGAGTTTATAGTCGAATCGAGCGCCTCAAAAAGACAAATCCAACGAGCTCAAGATTGCTCCATTCTGACATCGTCATCAAACATCATCAGATCAAGAGAAGCTCTTCGGACCGTTCGATCAAAATTATTTATATTCCAGCATTAATTGCACTCAAAACACTATAAATAGAGTCTCACCCCTCACATGAAAGGAGAGGAGGCTTAAGAAAGAACTTGGGGTTTTGAGAAGGAGCTCAAGTCCAAGATCATCCTCGCCATCGTCGATTGTCGCCGCACACCATTGACCGTCGACAACGACCGCCGACCTCTGTCGACCACCACCGGCCATCGTTGACCCCCGCCGATCACCGCTGACTTCTGTCAACTACCGCCGACCGTCATCGACTATTGTTAGCCATCACTCACCTCTGTCAACCACCGCTTATTAGACGTCATCAGTCGACGTTGTAACGTGGAAATTTAATAACCATTTCCCGTCTGTGGGACAATGGGCATCTATAATCATCAACTTATAGTGGATTTTTACAACTGGGCCAGACCCCGTGGTTTTTCCCTTCTACGGATTTTCCACGTAAAAACTTCTGGTGTGATCACAGTTCGATTCATTTTTATCTGAGTGTGTGTTGAATTCTCGTGCAACGCTAAGACGATAATCCATTACTCTACCATCCATTACTCTACCGCCACGAATTTTCTAGCACGCATCAAGTCTCATATCTAAGCAATTTCTTTTCAAAAAAATATAAAAAGAATCACTTTAAAATGATAGCATGTGCAATAAATCTTACATTCATATGTTTGCCCAAAAATTATGGCTCTTTGGAATCACTTTTGTTTATATTTTATTACTATTTTTTTACTTGTTATTTCTATTTTTATTTCATTTATATTTTGACTTGAATAACAAATATGTTTCATTATAATAGTTATTTTTTAGAAAATATTAAAATTAAATTGTTTTATTTTAAAAATATGAAATTGTGTAAAAATGATAATAATTAAGTTTTTTTAAATAAAATAAAAAATAAAAATAAAATAAGAAAATAATAATTGTTAGAAAATAAATCAAATGACATTTATTGTTTTGATATGGTGTAATGACATTAATTGCCCTGATATGATGTAATTAACGCTGATTCTATATGCTGATGTCTAGACTTAATTTCTACTATATAATGATTTTATATAATTATTTTCTTTCTTATTCTGAATCTTAAAATACTTGTATAAATACCATCTTTTGTATAATGGAGAACCCATACCAAGAAATATAAATACATTTTCATTTATTAACAATAATGCTAAATGAGCTTAACTATTGTATTGATTGAGGAGTTTTCACATTCACCCCAAAATCAAAATATTTTATAATTGTTTATTTTTTAAAAAAATAAAATTCTAAATATATTCATTTTTACACACAAATTTCAAATGAGAGAAAAAAAATAAAAGTTCAATTATTTAAATATCAGATGGTAAACAACTAAGAAGATTCATTGGAGTTAGTTGGGGACAGCCTCACGAGGTTGGTAGTCCCTACATCTCTATTATTTGGTCGGTGGCCCGCCCGACCATGCCCACGGGCCAGAATCCAGTCCCAACACCCAACCCGGCCCGATTCGACCCACAAAACCCAACGCTGCGCCAGCTCTGCTGGGGACCACACTCAACCACTCTCCCGCGCAGACATGACTGGAGCGAATACCCACAACGGCCCGCCGAACATGACCGTCAAATGGGACCAGCTCCATTGCAGCAAGTTGACACGTCGATAACACGGGGCCACCCGTCCACCCGCCTCACAGCCTGTCGTTTTTTGAAAAGCTCTCTAACATGAATGAACACCTTAGCGAACACTTACATAAAAACCCGCTATTTTGAGGCCGTAAAAATTCCACGTCATCTAGTCTATATTTGGGTCTTAATTGGTAGTTACAGTATGTAGGTACTAGTCTTAATTTTGTAAGGTGTAGCGTTTTTCTATCGAACTAATTAATTATTCTAGAAAATATTTTAGCAATGTCATTTTCTTGGAGGGCACGTTTTCTCCATTTCGAAACTATAAATGCCCTAGGGCACCGCCTGGTTATCTTCTTCCTTCTTCTCCCCTTCGCTCTTTTAGTTGAGGTTTTGTTCACGGGTTTTTGCTCTGTTGTTCTTTTTCGCTGCTTCGGTTTTGCTTTTCTTGAGTTTCATCTTCCCGCCTCCGTGTTCTCTTCGCATTTGGTATAGGCTCGGGATTAGTCTACAGGTATTCATCGCTACATTTGCTAGTTTTTTTCTTTTTTAATCTGTAATGTTGTTTGGTTGAGATGTTTTTGCGTTGAGGGGTAGGTTATATAAGAAGGTTTTGAATCATTCAAATTGTTTTTGGTGCTGTGTGAGATATTGATTTCTTGGTTGTGTTTGGGTGTGTGTGTTTTTGTTTTACCAATTCCGATTCGGCTAAGTTGTTCATTCATTGAATAATTTGATTTTAATTTTTACGTAACTTGCTAATATTTGTTGTCTTGTATTCCTGGATTTAGTTTCCTGGGACAAGTAGCTTGCTAGTTTTTATCGTAATTTCATGTTACTTTTAGCATTCTCTTGATTTAGTTTCCAGGTAAAGATCTATGTACATAAACTTTGGGATCTGCTTGACTTTTTTTTTTTTTTTTTTGGTTTTTTAGGTTGCATTGTAGAATTACCCATGTGATGCAGGGCGTCCCCTGTTTGACGGGTTGAAGCTGCTTTTTTTTAATCTTCTTTTTTTTTTGGTCGTGATTTTTCTCTGCCAACTGTTCCCTGCCTGGTTTTTTACGGCAGAAAACGACTAAATAGAAAGAAAGGTCTATGCTTTTCTGCTTCTTTTTTTTTTTTTTTGTATTTTCATTGAAGCAGCTCTCACCGTCCATTAGTACTTCTTTTTTTGCTTTTTTTTCAGGAGTAGATTTGCCGTTTTTAACTTGTCTTTGTTACGTTGGAAGACTTCTTTAATGCATAGAAGTTAAAATTTGACCCATCCAGAAGAACTAATTAAAAACCAGAAAGTTAGGTGGAAAGTGTGCTCGTTTTGGCTTTTTATTGATAAATCGTTGATTCTTTTACGAAGGGAGCTGGGCCACGGGAAGTCCATTGGTTGACGGGGCTTTCGTCTTCTCCGCGGTTTCCGGGTTTCAGGCCGACTGCTAGTTTGTAGCAACAGCTACTTCTGATTTTCGTACTCAGCTTTCGGCTGACGCGATTTCTTGAGATGTGCCTTCTTCGTTGACCATTGACCATAACTCAGTCTCCAATTACTGTGAAATCGTTTTCCTATAATATTTTTTTATTTTCCTTGTGAGTACAAGAGTTTTTGCGATTTTTCCATCGTTTTTGTACAAAGCACAGCGGTCAGATGAGAGCCCTTCTAGCAAGAGGTGAGGCGTGCGTATCCCATTAAATTCGCTAAAAAAAAAAAGACTAGTGAGCTTTTTAGGAAATCATACTGATTTGATGATTTTTATTTTTTTTCATGTTGGGTATGCTCGTCATATAATGATCTAGTAGTTTATACTCAAACATATTGTTTCTGATCGTTTTTGTAGAAGTATTTTTTTTTTTTACTTGCATATGTTCTTGCGGCATCTTCATGCCACAAAAATGTCAACTTTTGGCTTAAATCAGAAAGTTGGCGTGTTCATGTTTGAGTTTTTTATGAAGATATTTCATCCGAATGAATGGATCCTCTTTGCAGGATTCTTTTCTTAGTTTGGTTGGCGGTGTATTACCTTTTTATTAAGGTTTTTTTTTTAACCTTTTTATAAGATTAGTAAATCAAGCATTGTTGCTTTAAATGGAGTTATAGCTGATAACTACATGTACAAACAAAAGTTGGATTATGAACTCATGCGTGTTTTCATTTTAACTTTTACAGCCTTTCGGCTTTTCCTGTTGAAGTTTGAAGTTAAATTCCAGTCTTTGGAACAAACATGTCATCTGCCCAAATGTTTTGCCGACTGCTATAAATGCGGTATAGCTATGAGAAGGTAATAATATTTACCATTTTCTTATCCCCTCATTTTGATTGCTTGTGGATGGAAAACATGCATTTGATTTTGATAATTTTTTTTCAGTTATTTTAAAAATTGAGAAATAAAAATCCTCTCTTTTGAGTGATTTTGAAGGTTTTTGTAGAGTTTAAAGTCTATATTGTAGAAAATTCATCATTTTTAAAACATATTTTCTAACTTCAAGCAATCAAATGATCCCTAAACGAAAGTCATTTGTTTTGTATAACTTTACTCTAACGAGCTCCCAACCGTCAGATTCCTGAAAACCTGCGCTTAATGGATTGCTCCCCTAACTGCAACGACAAGAAAAGTCTGAAGAGGTGGTTCTTCATTGATAAAATGGTCGGGTAGATGTTAAATTTGTCAAACAAAAGAACCAGAAGCGGCTACAGTTATTTTTGAACTTTACATCAAACTTGAGGGTTTCTAGGATTTGAAACTGGTCAGGCTCCCATGGATCTAAAGCCCAACCATAGTTCTCCTGTTGTAGCTGATCAAGTCCCTGTGAATATGTCAAGACTAGGCAGATCAGCTAATTTAGCGCCATACTCCACAACATTTTCTTCTACTCTGCATTTAACCATTCCCAGAAGAAGAGCTTTCTGTACCAAACTCGATGATGTCCGATCTACCGGCTGGCTGGATGCCATGAAAGCTTCATCGCCTCCTAATAAAAAGATCAACAAAGAAATCAACTTTGATACCGCTCCTGAAGATGCTGATACACTGTATCTCTCTTGGGTGGTACATTCCTTTCCACCTTTTGTTGGTCTTTTGAGATTTCTGTTTAGTGAAGTTAATTTTGATAAAGAATGGTTTCTGTTCTGTAGAGTATTTATCCGTCAGCTTTATCATCGTTTGAGAAAATCACAAACTATGCCAAGGGGAAAATAGTAGCCCTGTTCTTGGATTATGATGGAACTCTTTCACCTATTGTGGACAATCCCGAACATGCTTTTATGTCCAGTGCGGTAAGTGATGATTGTCAAATATATCTATAGGAAGATTGAGCCTTAGAAGTATCCAAAATTTTCTGTTTTGTTTCATTGTAGATGCGTACTGCTGTCAAAGTTGCTGCAAGTTATTTTCCAACAGCCATTATAAGTGGAAGAAGTCGTGATAAGGTACTTATGTTTCATTTTTACGACAGCAAATTTTTTTCTTGTTCTATTTTTTTCTTACTTAAGGCTGGTTTATGTTTCCAGGTTCACGGATTTGTTGGGCTGAATGAACTCTATTATGCTGGTAGCCATGGTATGGACATAATTGGCCCAGTCAGAGATTCTAAATGTGTCTCGAACCATCCAAACTGCATTAGATCCATGGATGAACGGGTGAAGCATCTTTTTCTGAGTCGCTGTTTGCATTTTGGTTCAGATAGCCTATTTTTTATGGTTATTTATTTATTTATTCCCAATTTGATTTATGTTAAATTTCAATTACTCTCTCTTGAGCAGGGTAAAGAAGTGAACTTGTTCCAACCTGCAAGTGAGTTTCTACCAATGATCGACGAGGTATTCTATACTTAATTGTTAAAATAAATCTAACAGCATTGTGATTTATCCAAATGATGAGCAAAATTTAATTTTTTTTCTAACAGGTTTTTAGATTGCTCATTGAGAATACTAAGGACATTATTGGCTCAAAAGTTGAAAACAACAAATTTTGCGTCTCTGTACATTACCGCCTGGTAGATATGAAGGTATGCATTCGGAATACTGAAAAAGTTAAGACTTCTTTTTATGAAGGACTAACTTTTTACATCACCTTTTTTTATTCTTTGTTTTTTTGTGCGTTTCAGAGTTGGGATCTGATTGCCCAGAGAGTTTTTGATATACTCAAAAACTATCCTCGGCTAAGACTAACTTATGGGCGGAAGGTAGTGACAGAGCCCCACAAATACATTCTGGTTTTCGTTTTGGTGACGCTCT